TAAAAAAGATTTTATTTACTTGTTATATATACATGATGAGTACACTGTAGCTGTCTTCAGACACACCAGAAGAGGGCGCCAGATCCCATTACAGATGGTTGTGGCCACCATGTGGTTGCTGGGAATTGAACTCAGGACCTCTGGAAGAGCAGTCAGTGTTCTTAACCACTGATCCATTTTTCCAGTCCCAAGATTCTATGGTATTTATTTATTTATTTATTTATTTAGGATAATTGCTTATAGAGCTGGAGAAATCACTCAGTAGTTAAGAGAGCTTCCAGCTCTTCTAGAGGACCTGAGTTTAGGTCTCAGCACCCATGTGCTCACTGCCTATAACTACAGCTTTAGGGAATATGACACCTTCTTTGAGGACCTCTGCACCCCTCCACATATTTACACATAATTAAAAATAAAATAAGTTTTTAAAGAAAGATAATTACTTATGTTTTCTGAGGTTTTCGCAAGGCTTTTGGATACTCAGAAAAGGGTCCTTTAGGTATCTATTTATGTTGAAGTCTTTTAAATGACCACTTTATAAACAACTATAATTTCAAAGTGATTCAATTACATTTAACACCCAGTGTAGCTATGATTAAAAATGTATGCACCCATGGAATAAAAATAATAAGAAATGAAGAATAGCTTTAAAATATGTGTAGGGCCAAGAATGTGTGTAGGGCTCAGCAAGTAATGATGCCTGTCGCTAAGTCTGCCGCTCTGAGTTCAATCCCTGGGACTCACATGGAGGAAGAGTTTTCTGGATCACTGACTCCTGTCAATTGTTCTCTGACCTGCATACATGTATAGTGGTACATGTGCAGCCTCACAGGATAAAGAAATAAATTAAAATGTATATACCTATATGTCTAAAGTCTATATAAATGCTATATAACACTTTCAATTTAACAGCATAGAAATCTAATACAATAAAAGCATATGAGAAGCGTTCTCTTTCATACAATATTCTTGGATGGTCAACATGGAAAATGGCAAGAAAAAAAGAGATTTGTTGTTTTCATCTTTATTATATCTAACCAACATGATTCAGATAAACTCATGCACTTGGGAAATCATAGTAGTTAAAACCTGATCTGTGTGTATTTGCCATGACTAAATTAGAATTGAGTTATTATATGAGATACACATGTACCAGAAAGCATGTGCTACAAGCTGTCTTCAATTAATAGGATGTCTAAAAGCTGGATTTCTGTCTGTGCTGTAGATATATGACCCTAGCAAGCCAAAGATTATGAATTTTGCTTTAAAAGAAAATATGTAGGTACACACACACACACACACACACACACACACACACGTACACATTTCTTATTCTGTAGCAGGACATAAAAAGAGAGCCAATGCCTTGTCAATGAGTCTGAAGAGAAGGATGCTTAGAACTTAGAGGATGGGTTTATAAGAAACATTAAATATTAGTCTTTTATATCAAATACTATAAAACTTTTATTTACTACTATGAATATATTTATAATTCAATCTCCCCACATTGTAAAATGTTTACACAAACCTTTTACTGATCCTCACCTTGTAAATAGTTATGAAAAAATTTTAATTTCCACCATTTGGTAACATGTATGGAAAACTTAAAACATAGTTTGACCTTTATTTTATGTGTATGTGGGTTTTGCCTGGGTGTATGTATATGTACCACATGTGTGACTAGACTCCACAGAGATCAGAAGAGGGCATTGGCTATCACAGAACTGGAGTTACAGAAGGTTCTGAGCGATCATGTAGATCCTGGGAACTGAACACTGGTCCTGCAATCTCTCCAGCGCTTTTGCAAGACTTACTAAGAGTTTTGTTTATACAAATGTTGGTACGTTCCCAAGACTTGAATACTCACCCTTTCCCACTTTCCTTCATTGCTTTTGCAGCAATTCTTTTAAAACCAACCAATCAACCAACCAACCAATCAACAAGCCAGCCAACCAACCAACCAACCAACCAACCAACCAACCAACCAACAAGCCAGCCAGCCAGCCAACCAACCAACCAGCCAGCCAGCCAGCCAGTGAACCAGTGAGCCAGCCAGCCAGCCAGCCAGCTAGCCAACCAACCAACCAACAAACCAACCAACCAACCAACCAACCAACCAAGACTGAGATCTTTCCCTCCAGGAAGTGAGTAGAAAACTTGTGAGGATAAACACCTGCTGAATTTCCTGGTTGAGCTGCTCACCTTTCTGCTTCTGATCAGAAAGAAAGTTTTGCCATGTGGAGGAGCTTTTTGAAACCCAGAAATTAATTTCTAGTATGGTCATTTAAAGCAAGAACAAACCAAACTTCACCTGCTCCTTCCTGTTCAACAGAAGGGTACCCTCAGAACTTACTGTACAGACACAGTAACAAGGGAGGGGAAAGACATACGGAAATTTTGTCTTAAGTATCTCTTACCAGACTTTTAGTTTTACAAGGGAAGAAATTTCTTTACTGGTCACTACTGACCCAGTACAGGATTAAAAAACAAAAAAAAAAAACCGAGATTATCTGCCTGGATTCATGTTTAGCTTCCAGAATTTATGATAGATATTTGTTATCTTCAAGGTTGTCTTGAAGTAGGTACTCTCAGCCAGTGAAGTTCTCAGGCCAGGCAAACACACATTACTCTAGGCCAGGGGATGAAAGGGTCCTAAGTACAGAACAAAGTTCAAGATTAAAACTGCCTGTTCAGTCTAGCTTGTAAAACTTGATTACTTGGGAGTCAAAGGCATAGTAAGGTTAGTTATATTGTTTTCTTAAAGGCAGGATAAATTTAAACAAGTCGAGTACACAGCAGGAAAACAGGCTGAGTACATAGTTTTAAATGGTCTCAAATCATATGAATATCTTGGTGGCAAGGTCTGGCAAAAGTTAAGTTCTGAAGACCAGCTGATGAGGCATTTCCAGAAACCATTCCCGCAGCAGCCATGGCTGAGTGACATCAGGATATAAAGGGAGAAGCCAAGGGGCTCAGTCCAGAGAGCACAAGTAAGGAAGGAGCAGGGACCTAGTCTGGTGCAGGAGGAGAGGCCAGAGCAGCAAAGGGAGAATGGGTTAAGCCAGCTAGAGACTGAACCATGGAGGATGGCTTTGGAATACGGGGGTTTTCCAGGTGCACCTTTAGATTTTGGGAGCCAAGTGTCATATAACAACATGGGACCCACTGCTCAGCTATTAATCAGAATGTTAGCACAGTGACATTATGTGTCAGGAAGGTCACAGTGTGGGCATGTGGATGAAGCCATCTCTTCTGAAGCCTCTTGAGCCTATGGGAGAAGAGGGTTTCTGAATGTTCTCTTGTCTGAATGTGGGGTATGGGGATCTCTTACATCTGATATCTTTTTCTCAGAGCCTCATTGAAATCTTACCATCTCTGTGTGGCTTCTAAGTGCCAGATTGTAACATACACCCTCAGGAGCCATGCTGCTGTTGCTGACCTTGGCTCTCCTTGCCGGTCCTACCTGCAGGGCCCAGAGTGAGTACCTGAGCCTTTGTGGCCTTCACTTTCCCTGTCCTGTACTAAGCACAAGGGCCTCTGAGGGAAGGAGTGGTCCTGAACACTCTCCTAATGTCTCACTTTCAGATGTCCTGGGGAATAGTGGCGGCACTTACTTCTATGTTCACGGTGAAGACCAGGGGGAACTTAAAGGCATGAGAATCTTCTTAACAGCAATAAACCTCATCAAAGGGTAAGTAGGACTCCGGTTCCTGGGTTTCCCTGCAGCACCCCTCAATTGGACCCACTTCCTGTGGCTTACCTAGAAACCTGATCTGAGCAAGCCTACTCAGGACTGTAATACCCAGGCTTGATTAAGACTGGACAGTCCTCAGAGATACAGGTGGAGAAGGACCTCCAACTTTCTTGTTCAGAAAGGACCATAGAGGCTTGAAGAGTCTCTCTTCCAGGTGGTTGTGGTGGCTTTAGTGCCTCTTGGTAGTGACAGAAACTGATCACATGTCTGAGAAGTCTTCACAAGGCATAAAATGAGAGTTCTCTCCGTCACTCGGAACCTTTGATTCACTCCAGAAAGGTGGTCATTCCCTTTGGACAGGCCAGGTCTTGACTGGCCTCCTCAGTGTCTGACTCTTGAGATCTGTTCTCCTAGATTGTCACTAAGACCTTTGTTACTATTTCCCAACTTGGTAAATGCAAACACAGTCCCCCAAGATTAATAGAATTTCAGAGGAACAATGAATATTCTTTTTTTTTCCCTCAGACAGGGTTTGCTCTGTATAGCCTTGGCAGTCCTGGAACTCATTCTGTAGACCAGGCTGGCCTCGAACTCAGAAATCCGCCTGCCTCTGCCTTCCAAGTGCTGGGATTAAAGGCATGAGCCACCACTGCCCAGCATGAATATTCTTTTAGTGTATCTTCTGTGCAATATTGAGGTTATCTTAATTCTTAAAACCTTTGATGTTGGGTGAATGGGGAGAAGGCTCGGTGGATAAAGTGTTTGCTGTGTGAGTGTGAGGCCCTAAGTTTGGATGCCCAGAACCCATGTGAAAGCCAAGAGCAGCAGCATAGGACTGTACCCCTAAACTGTGTGAGCAGAGATGGGGGGCCTGAACTGCCCACAAGCCAGGGTCTTACTCAAAAGGCAATTCCAGGTTGCCATGGAGACTGCCTAACAACATGAGGGGCATGTCTGGGAAAAAGACAGGGAAAGTAAGAGCGAACATTTGCTCTGCAAACATGAAGGCCTGGGTTCAGATTCCCAGAAGCCATAGAAAAGGAAAAGGTGTCTGGAAGGATGGAGGTGGCTGTCAGGTAAGCACTGGGGTCAGTGACAGGAAGATCCCAGGAGTCCTGGCCAGCCAGTCTAGCTGTAACACAGTCTCCATTCAGTGAGAAACCCTGTCTCCAGGCAATAAGGCATATGGCCATAGAGGAAGACACTGGTGCCCAACTCTAGCCTTTACATGCCCACACATGCATCGCAGACAGACAGACAGACAGACACATGCAGAATACACACACACACACACACACACACCGTCATCATCATCATCTTCATCATCTTCATCTGCATACTCAGTTCAACACTGACAACATGAAAATACTGTCTTGTTTCCTTCCATGGTGCTGGGAGTTGAACCCACCTCCCACCTCCACTAAGAACTTGCTACATGTGGGCTAAATGGATGAACATCTATAAATGCATACACATACACGTGCACAAAATGAATAATGAATCAATGTCAAAAATGACCAAACAGACCCTGTAACATGTGGCATAGTGTACTGAATATTACTCATGGTTATCTGAAATTCTAGTTGTATTGGACATCCTTCCTGCATTCTGTTTCTGATTTGATAAGCATCTTAATTTGCAAGCAAAGAAAGAAGCTGGCATTAGGAACAGTCCGGAAGATTTGGGGTGGTCATGTCACACCTTTGCTCAGTAGGACAGCTTCCAGGGCTCCCCCGTTACCCCTGTTCCTCCCTGACTACACAAGGAGAGAAGAGCTGAGAAGAGCCTGTCTCTCTGGTCTCTGCTCATAAGGTCTGTCTCGGGTATACTGATCTTAGCAGTGTGGCTCCTGCCTCATTTGGGGCTGATAAGGTAGAGGACTCCAGAGGGGGAGCTGTGAGTTGGGTAGAGCCTGCAAAACATTCCAGCTCTGGGTGGGTGCAGTAGCAGACATAGCTGCCCTGGTACAGGTGTCTGACCTGGGCAAGACTCTCTGAGGTCGTTTGAGGAGGGATGTGCCTGGAAGGGGAAGGATCCAGGCTGCCCCATGAGAGCTGGGCATTTCTGGAGACTGAACTGTGAACCAGGAACCAGAATAGATAGGATGCAGATGTGAGAAAAACTGGCGTCCTGAGGTTGTGCTGACTTGATCTCTTTCCAGCATGCAGCTGCAGTTTGGCAATTACTGGAGTGAAGTCTATGGATCCCGGTCACCAAAGTATAGAGAGTTCCTTCTGCAGGACGGAGAGCTCGTGATAAAGGTGGACGGCACTGCAAAGCTCTGCCTGACTTCCCTGAACTTCACTACAAACAAGGGGCATGTGGCCACCTTTGGTGTTAGAAGGGGCAATTCCTTCAATGACAGTGGAGGTGCAGACAAGTATCTAGTGACTGTCAATGGTGTGTATGCACCAGGCCTCTGTATCAGAGGGATGGGCTTCAAATGGGGAAACATCCATGATGACAACCATGGCCATGATGACAATGAGGAAAGAGATGGTGATGACAAAGGTGATGATGATGATGA